AAGTGACAAGATGGGATACTGGTACTGTAACAGAATAGCACATCTGCAGGGATGTGGTGGATGAGCTGAAAGTTCACTTACGGAGTTACTCGTCATCTTCCTCAGGGTCGCTGATCTCTTCATAAATCACCAACTGCTTTCTCTCACGCAGCCTGTGGGTCCAGGCATGTTTCCCTCTTTTGGGTCCTACGATGGGGAAGAGTTGGAAGATGAGGGTTGGGTAGGCTGGAGAGTGTTAGGTTCTGTTTTCTCCAAAAGTGGAGATGCCTCCCCTCTCCCAAGTGCCCATGGGTCTTCTTTTTCCAGTTTTTCACATTCTCTGGCTTAGAGAGGCTGAGACCTTAGACCCACACCAATACAGGCCAAATGCCAATTAAAGTTTTAGCTTCTGGCTCCTTCCGTTGTGAGGTTTAGATTCCCAACCTCTTCACTTACAGGAACATTCAACCATACCTCCTTTCATTCTGCACATATTTGCTAAGGGCACACAGGCATACCTTGTTTTATTGCACCTCATTTTTATAGTGCTTCGCAGATAGTGCAACTTTTTGGGGGGAATTCTCACCAATTTTACACTTTTCAACTATTATTATGTCTGTTATGATCTGTGATCAGTGAGCTTTGATATTATTATTGCAAATGTTTTTGTTGTTGTTTGGTCTTTTAAAGTAATTTTTGTTTTTTATTTTTGTGGGTACACAGTAGGTGTATATTCTTATGGGGTATGTAAGATGCTTTGACACAGGCATGCCATGCGTAATAATCACATCATGGAAAATAGGGTCTCCATGCCCTCAACCATTTATCCTTGTGTTACAGACAATCCATTTACACTCTTTTAGTTATTTTTAAATGTGTGATTAACTTATTATTGACTACAGTCACGCTGTTGTGTGTAAATGTTTTGGGGGTACCAGGAACTGCCCCTACAGAAGATGAGGAACGTAATTGATCAATGTCGTGTGTGTTCTGACTGCTCCACTGATGAGCTGTTCCCCATCTCTCCTCCTCTTGAGCCTCCCTATTTCCTGAGACACAGCAACACTGAAATTAGGATGATGAAGAACCCTACAATGGTGGCTATGTGTTCAAATGAAAGGAAGAGTCACATGTCTCTCACATTAAATCAGAAGCTAGAAATGGCCAAGGTTATTGAGGAAGGCCAAGATAGGCTGAAAGCTAGGCCTCTTGAACCAAACAGCCAAGCTGCTGAAATAGAGAAAAGTTGAGTAGTCAGGATAGAAGATGAAACCAGCCACAACATTCCCTTAAACCAAAGTCTAATTCAGAGCAAGACCCGAACTCTCTTCAAGTCCATGAAAGCTGAGAGGGTGACGAAGTTGCAAAAGAAATGTCGGATGCTAGCAGAGGTTGGTTCGTGAGATTTAAGGAAAGAAGCCGTCTCTGTAACATAAAAGTGCAAGGTGAAGCAGCAAACCCTGATGGAGAAGCTGAAGCAACCTATGCAGAAGATCTAGCTAAGATCACTGATGAAGGTGGCTACACTAAACAACAGATTTTCAATATAGATAAAATAGCCTTCTATTG